TGACTCTCCATTTTATGAACTTGAACTTGCTGGAGGTGTTACTTCAGCTGGACAAGAAAATATTAAGCTCGTGGCAGAATACATAAAAAAGAAAGGCTTTGGAATAAAATATGGCAATATTAATTCCTTATATTTCACTTGCCCAGATTTCTGTTATGAGAAATATGATCTTGCTTATAATAACAGTACAATATCGAAACTAGAATACTGGACTGAGATTGTTAAAATTACTATGAAGGTAATAGAAAAATTGCACAATAAGGTGAACACATTTCTTAAACTAAAAAGTAGATCGGATTATCTTAAAATAGCTTATAAAGAAGTACTATTTTCGGTAGTGTTCATTGGAAAGAAAAAATATTTTGGTACCCCTTATGAGGATGCAATAAACTTTGATCTGAAGAAGCTTTTCATAAAAGAAATTGATACTGTAAAACAAGGCAAATCCTAGCTTTTCAAGACTATAGATGAACGGATTATGAATAATATCAGAGATATTAATAATGACCGATCACTCCATGACATCGTTGAAGATGTTCTCAGAGACACTATAACTAATATAAAGCAATGAGATTTTGAGCAATTTATAGAGACCGAAGCATGGAAACCTAATATCGATAACAAGTATATCTAACGTTTTATAGAATGAATGAAGGGGGAATATGAAAATAGGATTCTGGTACCAGGCGAGCGTTTTAGTTTTGTAGTAACCCATCCAGAAACAGCTTTTGATTTACATGGTCGAAAATTACATCTAACTAAAGTGAAAAAATGGAATTTGTTGATGTGGTGAAGGAGTTGGATAGGGAGCTAGATTTATATTATTATTTCGAAAAAACTATTATTGGCCTCTGTGCCCAATTTATCATGTATGACAAAAGCTATGAACTAGCATCCTTAGACAAAATAATGCAAATTGAGGATTTAGATGAGAAGTATAAACAAATAGATGATTACGCTCAAAAGAAAGCCAAGTTGTGGCTTGGAGTTTGTAAAAGAGAATATCGTGGTGAATGGTATTACTTCTAAGATGATGGAATCTTGTGAAAAAGTTTACTAACGTACTTACAGAAATGCCATCAAAAAAGCACAAGAAATATTATCAACAGGTAGGTAGTGTATACAAAGTATTTTATAGCAATGAGCTTAGTTATGAAAATTTTATGACAAACAATTCTGTTGAGACACTATGGAAGACATTTATAAAATGCGCCAAAAAACTTATAAAAAATAAGAAGTTCTTAGTATGTAGTGAAACGAAGGAAAAAAATGCTCTGATTTTGTGAAGTACTCTAATAAGCTTGTAAAATGTATAGAAGAGTACAATATATTCTTTCACAAGTTAGTCTATCACATGCATTATAAAGAACATGTATTGATTCCAGAAGAAATTGGCACAGTTTCATCTATGTGAAAAAAAGAGATAATTGCTGACCTACCTCTCCTACCCACATATCAGAAATTTTAGAGCTTAATAACTTTAGATATTTATGGTATTCCCATCTTAAAACCGTAACAAGAGAAGAAGCACTTAAATGAATGATCTATTATTAAGTATTTTAGCGGAGATGTGGCAATTTTAGCTAAATACTTATAATATTATTTATATATTTTTTCTCATGCAATAATACCGGCTAACTTCAATTCCTATATTCAATCTTCTGGCATCTGATATGCATTTCTTTTTTCGAAATTATAAGAAAAAGGTGCTAGTATTTTTAAACATATACTTTCATAATATAATAGCTGAATTGCATAACCAACTTTCTCAGTACATAGGCTTCGAACCTAGTGAAATCTATTTTCCAATTATAGAGGAGAATATACAAGAATTTTGTAAAATAATATCAGAACAGAAGCAGATAGGAGATATAGTAAGGAATAACTACTGATTTTTGCTACGTTATAGACATAATGGTTAGAGTGATAACTGGATCCATATTGGCTAGTTATTAGCAAGTACAGTATCTCAAGCTGAAAAGGTCTTAATTAATCTGCCCAAAAATTTATCAAAAAAGGTATTAGCTCATATTGAAAAAAGATTCGAAGAAGTTCTACTAGTACCAATACTCATACGGTAAATATTTAGATATTATCACTGGCCTATCTGGTACCTCTTCTCTATTTATATATTTTTTGTGGACGGGATATCCAACTTTTTCTTTTGGTATGATGCTCTCCAAATTTCATAGCTTTTTCACAATAACTAACCATATAATTGCGATTAATAGAAAAAGCAATATCGAGCAGATAAGCACCGATGATAGTAATTTGTCTATATCGATAGGGTTCCCTGAGCCATCTAATGAAATCTTTTTTTTGGAAATAGTAGTAGGTATGATTTGTTCTGAAGAAGAGCTAGAGCTCTTTGGCTCATTATTTTTTTCGCCACCACTTTTTATATATGAATTGGTTCTCTTGGGATCATCTGGTCAATTATTCTTATCAAAGTATCCTGGGAGGGATGAATTAATCACAGATTGAAGCGATTTCACTTTCTCTGATTTTGCATGATATTCAGCTTTATATTTGGCGAGAGATGTCTCTACACAAGTATATTGGGAAAAAAGTTTAGAATTTTCAACCTTCAACTGTCTGGCCTTATCATTGATCTTCATGAATTCATTTTGCAACTTAGCATTATAATTTTGTATCTTGGATGAGTCTTGTAAGATGCAACGTATCTCTTTTTCAAGATCATATGTTCTCATTTATTTACATTAGCTATAAACATGTAAAAAAAAACTTTGTTAAAGAATAATCACAATAAATAAAAAATGAACATGAAGGTTATCGATTGTTTTATTATTATTTTAGATAGCATATTAGAATGTATTCTACCCATCTAAAACAATAAATTATGTTTTTTAACGTCCCTTCTCATTCTAAAATAATAAATATTGAATTCTAATTTTTTTTATCTATCTAAAACAATAAATATTAATGCCTAATATTTTTTATGCATCTAAATACATTGTCTAAAAATATCGGAAGATTATGTCTACCTCGATTTTAAAAACTCATTATCGGCGGGATGCTACTATTTTAACATCTGGATAGATTAAAAAAATTAGATATCTCAAAAATAAGGTCCTGGTATACATGGTAGTAAATGAGTACCATATTAATAAAGATCGTGTTTATGATATATGGAATGATTGTGAGTGTTCACAGCAAAATAGAAACTACTTTTATGAGGAGCTTAGAAAAGCACAATCTATCTCTTCGGAGAATGGTTTAGAAGTTCATGCTAAACAACCTTGCGAAGTGTCTGATAAGTTAACTCTAAAAGAATCATCTGAAGTTGTGGGGGACTCTCTGGGACTATCACCTGCTAATATAAATGTGCAAGAAAAGCAAAAAAAGAAAAAGAAACTGTTAAAGTTTGGATCCATTTGAAATTTTAACTTACCTAAAATTTTGTCTGGAGGTTCTTGCCAAAACTTCTTACTAGATGTCTTATATGAACTAATTACTTTGATTAAAAAAGATTGTATAGAATCAGAGGAGTCCATACGTGAATCGAAAAAGCTCTTTGCTCTTAACTCACTTTGCTAAGCTAAAATATCTAGTCAACAAGGAAAAAGGGATCGGAGGTTTTTATTAATCTCAATTAATTTAGCTTTGGAAATGAGAGTATTATACAATATTTTTTCAAGCTCCTCATAGCTTATGTGTTTTTTTTTAATACATCATCATACCTATTTAACTCCTGTGAGTCCTGTAATATGTTATCCAGAGTCGAGAAATCATCACAATCCGGAGTTATGTTTGCACAATTTACTTTAAGCTTGTTCTTGACCTTATGCATAGTAACTGGGATAATATAATCTTTTTCATTAAAAGGAATTTTTAGCTCATTGGTTTTCCAATCCAATGCATAATTGTATTTTTTCAAAAGCTGATTAGAAAATATTAATGTTGCCTTCTAATATTTTACAACAATAAAATCTTCATGGATAGTACAGCCTGGGGTTAGAGTAATGGATAATTTGCGAACAACTCCAACAGATTCAACCGGAACAGTGGCAATACCACTGAGATCATGTGTTTCAGATTTATCAATTTTAGCTCCCACACATATAACAATATTTTCTGTTATAATGAGAGGTTCAGCCCCAGAGTCTACTGTTATAGCTGGAATCTTTAAGCGCTTAATTTTACACTTTACAGTTGTGATACTTGTTTTTGGCTCCTTCTTCTTAACAAAATCAATCTCCATCAGACCATCCAAATCTTCTTCCTCATCTGAATCTAGCAATACAATCTCGGTAATTAGAGAAGTATTGCTTTGAGATTCTATCTTTTTCTGAATTAGAGACGCTTGATTCAGTATATTAGCTTTAATAGAGTCTTAGGAGAAATGATCAGGAAAAATTAATTTAAGTTCACTTTGAAGGATTTTACGAATAGTTTTCTCTAATAAAGTTTTAGATGTCTTTTTAAGGGATGATCTCTTGGAACTAGTGTCTTGCTTCACTTTTTTTTTGACTTAGCTATGTTAATAGTAATATCACCTCCAGAATCAGAGGATCCTCTGAACTTGTATCAGAGTCAAAACTATCACTAGAAGAAGTATCAGAAGAAATACTTAAATCTGAATTTGAATCTACAGTAGCGATATTAACCTTACCCTTTTTAGACTTCTTACTTCTCTTTTTTTTTTTTCGAGGGTAGTTTTGGGAATTATGTCCAGATCTTTCACAGGTGGAGCATTTGTAGCCTGTTGATTTCTTAACAGCACGTTTAACAGCAGTTTTTATGACACTATTTAATGTTAATCCTGCTAAACTATCTGAAATATCTTCTATAGAATCATGATCATATTCATCAGTAGGGTGTTTACCTGGATTTTTTCTTAGTAAGTTATTCAAAAAGTGATTAATACCAATATCTTCTGCTCTCTTTTTAGATGATTTTTTACTATTATTTAGAGTTTTAGTCATTTGAGACATAGTCTTTTGGAAAGATTTAATAGTAGACTGCAAATCAGCATTTTGTTAAGCCGTTTGAGACTCTGAGAATGCTATTGCAGTTTTTATCAAATCTATGATTTCAGTTTTAGTTATTTCTAATTTGTTAGTGTCTATGTAGGAGTTGGCTGCCAGAAAAACAGGAAGAGAAGATGGTGCATTTCTTTGAGAAAGTGTAAATTTTTCCACTTTAGCTAAGGCTCTTGTGATATTTTCCCGAATATCCTCAAATTTAGCCATCATTCAAATATTATATTGGTTTATAGGATTTAAGCTACAAATAAATTGCTTTCTTTGTTATTTGGGTGTCATTCCAGCCAATTTACCAACCTTTTTGATTTGAGTGGAGAACTCTTCAACACCCATATCTCCTTGCATAAGTTGACCAAAAACTGCCATTTGTTTTAAGTGTTCAACTGTCATATAAGAAGTACTAAATAGATAAAGAAGTTGCCCAAGCTTAATATCAGGAGCAATTGTAATAGCAGGAAAACCTCTATCAGCATTTGGTGCGACTGGTGCATTATCTGTAGGTTCACCACCAGCTATAGACCAGTCTTCATCCCATGTTCTATTCAGAATAATATCAGCACCAGTTGCGACATTTGCTCCAATTCTACCAATTTCTGCTCTAGCTTTATTACGAAATTTTTCTGCAATATTCAAACCACCAATCTGATTACCACCATTTCCAGCACCTATTGCTTGAACAGCAGTTAAAATAGCTACACCTAAGTTATTTGAGAAATTAGTATATTTCCAATTTTTGCTCTTAATGTGGGTATTATACCAATTCAATGCAGGGCTCGCAAGACATGATATTACTAATCCAAATGTCTCTTCTCTTCCAGTGATCTGACCTGCACCAGGTGCAACATTTATTCGACTAGCTACTATATATCTTTGCATCTCTCTGAGCCAATTCTCTGGATCTTCTCCAGAACGACCATGAAATATTGGGGGTCCATATCCTACCATTCCTATTTGTTGTATATTAGGTGGGTTATTTTGTAGCGCAAAAATTTGTTGATTTAAATTTAAAATATTCTGGCATTCTGCATGGGTCTTATTTTTCCATTTTTTATATTGCTCATAGAGTCTGTCTCTATTATATTCTAACAAATCTCTATCGGCTCTGCATCACTGTAGGTGGTGGGCATTTTGTCGATATAAGATTTATAAGACAAAATTTTCATATAGCAATTCACTGATACGAGTTTGTTTTCTTGCTATATGATCTATCATTCTGTTTACCCAATTTTGAGCACTAGTTCGCAACTACAGAAGATTAAGCAATACCTGGTCTCACTCCTGCATATACCCATCTTATGCTTACCAGATCTTGTTGCAAGTTAGTGTATTTACGTCGAATTGTCTTAGTTGATCTTTTAATTTGATTTGTTAAAATAGTTCTACATATTGTTGTATTTTCTAGGGATCGGTTTATAGCATTGGCCAATTCAGCTATTGTACCTATATTATCATCAAAATTATACAAGTCTAGAGAATTTTCATCAGAATCAGATTTATTTTTGCCAAAATTCTATGCCTGTGCATTTTGTAAAGCCTCTTGTATATTTCTAAGTTCTATTCTATCTTAATATCTTAATAATGCTAATGCAAAATTTTGACAAAGCAGGTCTGTAATACGATTTTTTTGTTAATTTATTTTATTAATCCTATTTATTTGGTTAGCTCTTATTGTATTTATTTCTCGTTTAAGGTGTTCGTTTTCATCTACTAATCTTGTTGTATAATCTTGTGCTTTGGGGGGTATTATCCACAGATTTTGATATCTTCTGTATTCGATTTTTTAATTTTGTTTCACATTCATCAAATTCTGATATTAATTTATCTTTATTAGAAATTTTTTTGTCTTTCTTTTTATTTTCTTCCTCGAGTTGATGAATGATTCTTTTTAGTTTTGAGATTTCTTTTTTTAACTTCTCTTTCTCTTCTGTAGAAGCTTCAATGGTATTGTTTAACTTTTCTTCAAGGAATCATATTCTCTTTTCCCATATGCCGATAATTCTTTAATTGCGTCACTGCTTCATAAAGCTCTTGGTTAGTTTGTTGTAACTCATTCATTGTTTTTTATCAATATAATAAAACAAAGGAATGGGAAAACCAGTTATTTATATCGATCCAAATGAGGCCTATAGAATCAAAACAAATCTTATAATGCGAGATATATATTATTGCCTGACTGGGTATTATTCTAATCCTAAATCTCTGAGAGATGCATGTAAAAAAGAGAGGCGTCGATTTCGCCTAAGTGAATGCAAAGATTTTTTAGAAAATCAGAAGTTATACCAAATCAATAAAACTTCTCCAAAATACATTCCTAGAATTAGCTATGGATGAATAACATGTCCTAATTGCATTCATCAATGTGATATACTGTTTCTCACTCATGATTACTATAGGGGTAAAAAATATAAAGCAGTACTTAACATTATAGACTGTGCTTTCCGATATAAGGCTTCAGTTCCTCTTAGATCAAAGAAAAGTTCTGAGGTTGCTAAAGTTTTTAGAAAAGTATACGGTAATCAAAATAATCTATTGACATGGCTAAAGCTTTTACAATATGACGGGGGTCATGAATTTATGGGTAAGACCTCCAGATTATTGCAAAAGTATAATGTCACAATTCGAGTGATTGGTCCATACTCTCATCAAGGTCTTGCATTTGTGAAGTGTTTCAATCAGACACTCTCAAAAATTCTGTATAAGATCTAATATACTATTAAATCAATAACTTCTGATCCTAAATTAATAAGAGCATGGGTTAGATTTTTATCAGAAGTTATAGACTATTTAAATAACTACTCCACATGTCTTATTCGAGAACCAGGATCAGAAAAGTGGGGGCTCGAGCCTGTAAAAGCTATTGCATTAGAACGTGTAGAATATAAATGCCCAGTTGGAAAAGATGAAGCAAAATTAAAGAAAGGTGATACTGTCCGTTACTTACTTGCCAATGCAGAATGGGAAGGGGGTATGGAAAATCAGAGAAGGGCCACGGACATGATATGGAGTTCAACTTTATTTAAAATTAGAAAAATTGTTGTAACAAAAAATGAACCAGTTTTATATTATCTTGATGAAGAATATGCCCCTTCTCGTGGGTTTGTGTGAAAAGAACTTATATTAATAGTTAATCTAGAAAAGGTTGAGTATCCACCCCAGAGTATATTATCTGTACATTTCATTTATGCTTCTAATAATGAGATAGCTCAAGCTGAAGATTTTGCCAAAAAGCGTGGTAGCCAATGTCTTAGGAAAACTGGACGAATAAATGGTCATAATGTTTATTTTTGGTCCTGTGAAAATGATGCACATCAGTGAAAGTATCTACTAAAATATATCATGAAAAAATTCGAGTGGTGTTCTCTATGCCACCATTCAAGCAGTGAACGTCAATGCCGATATATTTTTGAGGATCTACTAGATAAAAAATTTCCATCACATAGACTGAATTTTTTAGATAGGATGCATCTCGATGAGTATAACGAGAAATTACGTCTTGTATTCAAATTCCAGGGCCCCCAACACTATTATCACAATAGTTTGTATCATCAGAAGAGTGACAATTTGAAATCACAAAAGATATGTGATCAGAAGAAGCGGGATATATACAAGGACCAAGGTATATACCTTATTGAAGTGCCTTATACATGTGATTTTTTTCCTTATATTAAGTATACACTAATCAAGAAAGGATTTTTGGATAAAGCGAAAGATTAAATGAAATTATTTTTAGTATATCATTAATAATATCTAATTTGATATAAAAATAAAAAAGCTTGAGCCAGTTGATAGACTCGTATACCACATTAATGAGATTAAAGATGTTCAAAAATATAATGGCCATTCTAGTACGCCTCAATAGCCTTTCACTCTTCTAATTTCAGGTCAAACTAATTCAGAGAAAACTAATGAGGTTCTTAATCTCATGCTTGGAGATAAGCTTTATCAAATGTTTAATGGTAAGAAAGAAGGGATACGTTATATTAAGTGTGATGATTTGGTCTTGATTAGCCATAATCTTAAAGAGCCGAAATATATATATCTTAAATCAGCATATCAGATAATTGCAAATAGTTCGAAGCCATATTGTAAAAATATTACATTCTGAGGTTTGAAACCTGATAAAATCCCTAAAGTAGATTCATTTTCCCCAGATAAAAGTACAGTAAGTATATTCGAAGATGTGTGTGCTGATCCAAAAAAAGTGCAGGAGAAAATTATTCCTTATTTTGTTGAAGGGCAACATTACAACATCAGTTCGATATATGTATCCCAGAGTTACTTTGACAGTCCGAAGATAATACAAAAAAATCTCTTACACATTTGTTTATTTAATGGATCATGTACTACAGATGAACTAGTCAGAATTGTGCATTAATATGCTAATGACTGGCGTAATGTGATTAAAATTATTGTCAAGTATTTATATGAGCAAAAATTCATTGTTTTTGATTTAACTATACCTCGCGAGCATCCATACAGGATACGTGTCAGTTGGGATGTACCTCTCACTAATGAATAGAATTTGACTTTGTAGATGCCAGCTTTTTTCTGTTATATATACCCATCAAGAATACATTTATTCTCATCAGATGTTTTCACTATTTCTGAGAACATATCTTGAAAAATGAAGGCTTCTGCCATTATTATATAATATAATTACGCAATTACCTTCACTTTTAGTTGTATATTTAGATGTTTTTCTTTTACGATTTGCTACCTAAGTTCGCTATCGCTTCTTTTTTACATCTATATCACATTTTTTTATTTCATACATGCCTACATGCATTATGGTGAGTAAATATATTATTAATTAAGGGTAGGGTGTGCCAATTTCTAATTTCATATAAAATAGATTGTAGATCAACTTTGTGTAATGAATTTTATATGATATCATATGATTTACATGTAAACA